AGTACCACCATTAGATTAATTGAGATTGATTTAATATGTCTTATTAAAGATTGATCTAATATGCTCATGCCATATTTTTAGTGCTATAATTGATTTGACTTCCAACCTCTATAAGTTGGGAGACAATTGAGGTTTGTTGTGACTTGGTTAGTCTGGACTATGCATGGCTAAATCATTTATGAAGATTATAGGATCAATCATTAGTTTGATGAGATAGAGAAGAAGATAGCAATATCTGGCATTTAAAGGAGGTGGTAGTTGTTGGGTGCTTCTCGCACAAAGTGCATTGGATTGTGTTTTGTGATGATTTTGTATTACAGTTCCCAGACATGATTCTCTGCCCGACTTTGGCCACAGACAAGGTTTTGGTGTCCACACATTCAAAGTTGGTTTTGAACAATCTGTGTCGAGATCTTTGTACAATCCACATCTCCATCGATTTAGTTGTCTGGATGTGGATGACACTAAGATTCGGCCTGAAGACGTGTTCCCACTGCAAGGATGTCCCCCCAGCTCCTTTTGTAATTTTTATGTTTTTAGAAGGTCTGTAAGAGTTAGGTACCTTGATTAGTGGATGAAGCACCAAGGCCTGCCCTCCTTACAAATATCTGAGCTGACTGAGCTTTGGTCAAGTTAGTGGAAGTCTCAAGATTCCAGGCTAAGAACTGGCCAATTTTTTTTAGGGGTTATAGATGATGAGTAAAAATTTGATAGGATCTTGTAGGGACGAGATAAATATCCGTGCAGGATCTCCAGCTCATTTATCTTTGCCTGACAAGCAAAAGAGTAAATGTGTAAGTTCATGCAGTTGCGTGGAGCTGTTGGCAATGTAGGTTATGATTATCTGCGGTGGTTTGATGGTGACCGAAGGAGGTATTTTCTGTTTTGTGCGCAGCCCGAAGAAAGAATGGTGCTGAACAGAAATATCGGCAATTTCTTTGCTGCAAATGGGCAGCTGGCTTCCTGCCCTGGTGTCATTGTTCTTGGAATTTATTACAACGATGGCAAGTCCATTATTTTCTCATGCTCCGACACACAGCAGCACACGCTTGCACTGTATAGACGATATGCAGTGCACAGTGTTCAGAAGTTGAGTGAGGCGGACTTAGTCATGCTTATGGTGTGTATCAGAAATTGGAGGGGATAGGTCAGTGGTTGCCAAAAGGACTTAGATTGAGACTTGGTGGGTAGACTCCACTCTAGGTCTCCATCCTGACTGATGCAGTGCTGTGCAGAAAGCTGTTACGAGCGTTGTCTTCGTCGCAAGATCAGTGATTAACCACTCTGCTGCAATTGGTAACGGCAACGATGGAGCTAATTGACTGGCAAGGAAATGGTATACACAATGGTTTGTGTACATACAAAAGCTTTACATAAGTGCATCATTGAGCTACTGTCAGATCCCAGGGTGACTCATGAAGTCTGTAGCGTGTGGGTTACATACAAGAGCCAGGTAATGCCTCCAGCACACTGCGGATAGTCTTCTGGATTGAGTGAAGCTCTTGGCAACGTTAACTTATGAAGATGTTTTTACTTCGGGGTTTGTATCTGCGATGAGCTTGATATTCTAGAATGAGATTATGTTTTCTAAAGTAGTATTTGGTCGATACATGATATCTTCTTCGTTGGTGTGCAAAGCGACCGGACATTGGGTAAGAGAACTGACTCAAACTTCGGCATGAAAGCGGCCACGTAAACACCTCATTTTGTGTTGAAAATGTGTGAGCTGGTTTGAGAAATGTAGAAAATGGGTTTCAATTGTTTGAGTCAAGTTTCAACATGATCATTGTTATCTGATTAGAGGATCATACATAGTACTTGAATTCTTACTTCATTGTGTTGATCATGATTTAAAGTTTGGTACTGGAACATTTATATCCCATGTATATGTATATTAATTTTTTGAGTATTTTTTCCATTTAAAAAAATGTATTAAGGGAAAAATGATTGAAATAAGAGCTGGAATATTGTAAATTGAATTTTTATACTTTGAACATTAATTTTATAAAATGATATTTTAGCAAAGTAGTTAATTGAATCTTTGGTTGGCAACAATTAAATGTGATAGAACAAAATGATAGAATAATGATATAAATCAACAAATTTTGATTTTAGCATCAAATTATATTCTTGTCAAATGCAAAAAATTAGTGTTAAATTTTAGCAAGTGATTCCATTAAAATATACACCATTATATCGAAAATAACTAAATACATTAATATATATATATATATATATATATGTGTATGATAAAAAAGACCTAAGAACAAAAAAAAAAATCAAAAAACAAAGAATAATAACAATTCAATAAATCAATGTAATTTTTGTCTTAAAATCTAAAAAAAATAAATATATCATTTAGTAAAAAACTGCATATATAATAGTCATAAAATCCTAATACTTTATTGATTTATAAAGTATTATGATTGATTTGACCAAATTTTAATTCATGGTTCTAGTTTTTAAGATTAGAGCTTTTATATTTATTCTAGATCAATCAAAAATATTGCTTTTTTATTGGTCTAATTATCTTTAGAGTGTCTTTACTTAAAGATTTATCCAAAGTCATCTCAATCTAAGAATTTATTGAGATTTTATTAGAATTTGTTGTAGCAATTTTTTTAATAGACAGTAATTTTTTTTCTATCCAAATTTATCTAAATTAGACATAAGATAGATAAACCTACCAAGTAGTCTTGTTAAATTTGGAATTATAAGGATGTATAATAGAATGAATGAATGTAAGTATCTATTTCTAAATCTTTTATAACTTATTGCAGTTAATACAAACATAATAAATATATTCAACATTTTTATATTGTTGCTTCAAACCTTTTCTTATCTTTAGCCATCTCCTACTTTCTTTCTATTTTATTTTATTTTATTCTATTCTCTTTTTTATTTTTATGATATTTATTTATATCTAAAAGATTAAAGAACCATATGTATATGTATATATATATTAAAAACAACTTAATATTTCTTAGAAGATCTTTCTTAACTTTTTACTGATTATATCTTTTTTAATATGACTTTGATTGGAACAAATAAAAATTCTATGTATACATCTTGTGTAGATGTAAAAAAATCCTTTACTTGTTTTAATCTATTATATTATAAGAAGTTTATGCCTTTTTAAAATTGAAACACTTTTGAAGACTTTAATGACTTTAACCACTTTTCATTTGTTCATTTAAAAGTTTTTTTTTATTTATAACTTCAATTGTATTCATCCTTGACATTTTAGAATCATTAAAGTGCAAATTGTCCTATCTTGTATTATATTCTATATGAGCTTTGCAAATCTTGGATATCATTTCTTACCTATCCAAAGAAATTTTAAAATAGATATTATAAATTTGTTACTATGTTGTTAAATAAAATATAATTAAAAATGATATAGAATTTAATTTTTTTAAACATTCAATAGTTTTTAATAAATGGTTTTAAAATCTAAATATACTTTTCAAATTAAAAAATAATTTATTACTTGATTATAAAATAATTTATAGAATGATATCTTATCAGAATAATCTATATTTTTATATATTGATTCTTTTTTATTATACTAATATTGGAATTTATTTATTTTAATATGTATAGTTAAGTTATATCACCAGTTTAATACAGAAATTGACATTTAAAAGAAGGATTTGATATAGAATTGTATGGTGGACTCTTGTCTCAAATGACTAAACCATAAGACATTTTATCATCTTTTTAATCAACAACTGTTGTATTGTGGCATTTTGTAGAAAAAAGTTCAACGTTTCTTCCAATTTCGATGGTACGAAATGGGATAGGTTAGTGGTGGCTCCTTTTATTGACCAAATTATTCGTTAAAAAAATAAACATTAAAAAAAAAGTATAAAACAAAGGAGCCGCTAAGTGGATACATTTCTTTTACTGCATGGATATCTTTTGTGCCATTACATTTGATATTTTTTTGAAAAAATTATCAATTTGAAATTTTTCAATTTGAAAATAAAAGAAAATAAAAGAATCAAAAATGCTATTTAATACATAAAAATTACCTTGGTTTAGTTGCATGGTTGAAGGCAGATAAAAGCATTCATTTTAATAAAATTTTAATAAAAGAATTATGGAGAGTAGAGAAATTGGGCATAATAAAGTGCAACTATCCACACAATTATTGAAGGGGGTGAGGTGGTGAAATATAAAATAATGATATTAAAATGATATTACTATGTATATGCAGGGTGTGTGGCACGAGGGCTGTTCATGCACAAAAATGGGGGTGGCCACTTACAGATTCTCAAAAAAGAAAAAGGAAGAAGAATGAATCCTTTTACTTAAATATTAAATACATGATGATTTATATCCATAAAAAATAACCAAATTCATTTAGAATATGGCGTAAGATGGGCCAAGGTTAAAGTTTATGAAATTGAGGAGGCTTTGGAAAAATAAATTAAACTTAAGTAATTGCAACTTAGGGATCTGAAATCAAACCGGATTCGTCACCATCCATTCAAATTGATGTTTTATTTAAGAATGAATTTGTGAGTGCGTAGCATTCAAAGTCGCAGCATTTAGTCAATTCTGAGACGGATGGTGACGAATCCGATGCGATGCAGCGCAGAATTTCATGAGTGACTTCAGCAGTGGGGATGGATTTTCAAGGCATTTTTGTTGAACAGGTAATCACAGATGACAATTCTCCGATGCCATGCAGCCCAGATGTTGAAGTGGGTCAAGGCACTGCAACACGAGAACTACTCAGAAGCCGAAGCATTGCGTGGAGTGTAGTAATCCATCAGTCTGACAAGGTGTGCATTGCATCGAACTAACTCGGTGGCTGGATTAATATCGGATTGGTAACAGTACCGAGTTGGGAACGGTACAGCAATCTGATGCTGGAGTAGGAGGGGCTAGAGTGATTACACAGTCGTCGACACAGTGCAATGGACGTTCGGTTTGTGCCTGGATTTGTGTGCAATGCACCAAGTGCACAGCACGATTGACATTCTGTGTCAACATACTGTAAGTGGAGATTGTTTCCATCTGTTTATTGTGTTGAAATTCAACCAGAACAAGTTGAGTTGGTACGAATTAGATTATTTCAGCTCTTGAAACGCATGGGATGATACAAAGAAGGTAAGTTACTCCATTTGCAGCATCTATACATCCTACTATATTCGGTTGATGATTAGATTCTCATTTTCGGCGGCGCGATAAATTCGCGGCTTGCCCACCTCCACGATTCACTCCAGCGGTACCTCGGTGCTCAGAAAAACATGACTTCATCAGGGTACGGTATCTGTCTACGACCGCCAAATGAGGAGAAATCTGCAGACTAGTGCACTGGAATTTAGCACCTGAATAATTCTTCTGGTTAGTACAGATTCATCCACGACACGATTCATGATCCTCCAGAACCATGACCGCTCCCCGGCCTTCTTCGTCCTTTTCGAATGGGCTGCTTCCGCTCTACATAAGTGGAAGGAAACCATCCCGATTGGCCATTGCATTCTCCCTGGGACCAGCCAGATGAAGAAACCTCGCGTACCAAAACTTCGTCACCAACTGATAGTGAGAGCTCTCCATCGTCCTCTCGTTCAAAGGAGTGTGTAGCAACTGCATAGAAGCTTTTGGTTTCGACACAAGCAGGCACTTCTACTTCCTGGTCATGGTCGTTGTCATACCCTTTGTTGCTTTCGTTTGAAATGTTGTGAGCTGATTCTGATAGATTCGCAGTCATGTGGCTAACGGTGTTTGAAGGAGGAGTTTCAAGATAAGGAGTTTCTGTGTCTGAATGAGTTTCCGTATAAGCAGTTTCACTGTCTGAAGGAGGAGTTTCCGGATAAGGAATTTCTGTAACTGAAGGAGAATTTTCCAGACGGGTTTCCTGATAAGGTATTCCTTTAACCGTAGGAGTATTTTCCAGGTAAAGAGTTTCCGGATAAGAAATTTCTGGAACGGGTCCTGCCCCATGATAAGAGTTGCGAGAAGCTCCATCTCCATAATTCGAGGGGTTTGAGGCTTTCCTAACCTCAGACTCAATTTCATGATGCAACGTGTCCAGAATGCTGGTTACACGTTGAAAATATGCTCTCTCCGCAGCAACCAATGCGAGCATCTTCTGAAGATTGGTTTGCTGTTGTTGAAATTCAACCAAAGTCATCGCAGATGTGGCATTCTTACCCATTGCGCTCATTGCGGAAGTGTTTTCTTCCAGCTTCTGCTGAGCTGCTCGCAATTTGGCAGCATGTTCCGGATTGCCATTAGCATCTTTGGACTTCCTCCTGTTGACATCAAAAGCGCGCTCACCCACTTCTTGGCATAGACGGTCATACTTTTGTTTCAAGTGCCGGGCATCCACTAAAGGTGCACCATGGACCATGGCTTTTAAAGGCTCTACAACCTGCGAAGCCAGAACTCGGTGAAAATTTTCCCGCTCTTTCTCCATCCTATTCTTTGCTGAACTGTAATGCTGTGTAGCTCTTGAGAGATTCTGAGTAATACTAGGACCCTCCAATCCATATTTTTTGCAACCTTCTGCAAGCCTACTTTCAACCTCAAGTTGCTTTTTACCTGTACTCACAAAACCCTCTACCCCTTTAACGACATCCTTCTGGAAATGCTTTGCAGCCCTAGTTGACATGTAGAGCCGCTCCAGCTCCTGATGTGTTTGACGCTCGGCTTCATCTAATGTCATGTTGCCGCTTCCACCACCAAACTTCTTTGCCAAGTGAAAATTGGCTCTTAAGAACACCATCTTTCGAGGCTGCTGAAATATCCTCAAGCATCACCTTCAAACGAGAAACTGCTGACTTTCTCAGAATAAAGTCATACAAGTAGGTCCTCTCCAAATTGTATCTCCAAAAGTACATCTTAAAACATGACTTCCGTTCACATCTGAGATCGAGACAGAAAAAGAAATTGTGAACTAAGCACTGGACTGCGGGAGCTAGCAGTAGCAGCATTCACTAGTGTGCTCGTGTCTGAATTTAAGAAAATGCATAAAATCTACATGAAACTGAAAACTACAAATCCCATTCATACTACTAAAGACATAGAAGGAGCACATTAGTTTAAGTCACTTCACCAAAAGAATTCCCATATTTCTCACTATTTAATTTGCCTATATAGGTTTAAATTAGTGGCCAACTTATCAGTATGGACATCTGAAATCCTCCGCAACGGAGATACGACTTCAAATCACATGATATCTGTGAGTGTACTCACGTTTAAGGTCGTTACTGTCAACTCAAGGTTGTTTCAAAGGAACGATACAGGTAAACATATGCGGAGACAGATGTTAAGCAATGACTTACGAATTCAGCCACTGTGAAGATTGATGGACGATCTGACAAACAAAACTATCATTCGCTAGACAAAGGCTGGTAAAGGGGGCGGACCACAAGCGCTTCAGCACTCAACTGGCCAATTGCCATCTCCTAAAAAATACTACTGGACATTCCTCATTAGATTGAGATCGTCATGGTTGAATCTACTCGACAAAGAACACCAACAAAAGCAACTTGTTGAAGAAAGAAACTCACCACAAGAGCGGTCGAGAGAAATGGCAAAGCCCACAAAAAAGCGGGACACCGGTGTCCACTCACAGATTCCCTCACTCTAGATTCCTCTATCGAACTGCCTCGCTTCCGCCGATCCAATCTCAGTGGCAAAGATCTGTAACACCTCACATCCTACCGCCTCTACACATTCCAGCCCAACGAAGAATCAGCCACCCCAACCTCACAATTCCAGACTCCTTGCACTCTCCTACCCCTTCGATAAGATCACAAAAGCCTTCTTCCCAACTACTATTCAATCCGTCGACGCGCAAATTACTACAAACCAACGCCACATTCGAGGCAAGAGCGCGGTCTACAACCCATCCAAGATAAGAAGCTAGAGTACTCCCAAGGAATCGGACTCAGGGAGGAAGTCAAGGCGGAGCGCAACGACTCAACACCCACCGTATGAGTCAAACCCAAATCTCGAAGACGGTACAAATGGGACAGGTGCGGACCAGGGATCAGTCCGCCAGGCTCATTCGAAGGAACCTTCGCAAGCTCGAGTTGAAACGAAACGCCGAACACCGAGCTGCAAGTGGAATAATCATGACCAGCAAGGGGAGGGGGGGGGGCAACAATACCAACTTGGCAGCAGGATGAGTGGTCTAATCTGGTCTCCAGGCGCAACAACCCTCCATGAGTCAGGCAGTGAGTGCGTTGCGGTTGCAGGGAGGCTGCTGCTCTGGAATTCTTCCACGCAAGCATGACAGTCCTTTCGCGACGGGCGTCGGCTCTTGGGGCCCCTGGTTCCAGGGTTCTTCTGCTGGATCAGTGCAGGCGTTGCGTTGCGTTGCGTTTGCATGGTGGGGCGGCGCTGTGACTCGCCACGCTCCACGCGTTCGGCGCGTTTCCAGGAGGCTGCTCGGCGAGGCGAGGCGGGGGACTGGACGAGGAGCGCTCCCGTGATGTGTGGGGGGGGGGGGGGGGGGGGGGGACAGGGTGGGTTTGAGAATAAGCCATTGCGAGGAGGGAGACTGTGAGGGAGGGCACCGTGTGTGTCATTCACGCTGTTGGTGGATCATCATCTCTGCCCCTCTTTCGTTGGGTTTTCCATTGCGCTCCGTTCCTCTGCAATGTTGTTTTTTTGTTTTGTTTTTTTCGTTTGTGTTTAACTACTATTGTTACTGTGGAGGTATGAACCTGTTGCTTGCCACTATCAAATCATTACCTTAATTTACTTCAATTTTTTTTTTTCTTGCTAAGACCAAATTTATCATGTTAAAATAGATTTCAATTGCATTATTTTTGTTTTTGTTTTTTTTTAATCATATTTCTAACATATTAACAATGTATGTGGACAAACAATATTAATTTCAATGCATTTCTTAGCATTCAATATTTTTTTTTTCTTGCTAAGACTTTGGTAAATACATCTACCACAATTCTTTTTGCTGCATAGTACTTCATACATATCTTTGTGTCATCAACTTTATCCTGATCAAATTACTATCTTTATTTCAGTATATTTTCCAAGATTGATCTTAACAATTATTTGCAAAAACAGTGAGTTTTTGGTTGTTTAACCATCACAAACATTACTTTGGTTTATAAAAGTCTCTTGTTTGGTAATAATTATTTTATATGCATGACTTACACAATATATAAATGTAAATACATTTTATGGGATTTTGATTAAAAGAACACAAAAAGATGGTGACCAATTTCGAAAAAATATATTAGCATAATAATTTTTTCATTTGTGGAGATGGTACGTCTTTTTAGTGAAAAGTCTTATAAAATTAAAGTATTTACATTAGAATTTTATGAAAAAAAAAGTTACTAAATTGTTAAAATAAATAAATGCTTTGATCTAAAACTGAAGATCTCTTTATAAGTAATTGACTAACAAATAACTAATTGTGAATTTTGTTCTTTAAAACATAAAAAATTGTTTTAAGAAAAAAACATAAAATAAATATCATTATGTAGTGGTCAAAATTGAAGATTAAGTTATTTTGAGCAAGAATTTGAAGACTTTAAGACATGGTTCAAAAGTGTTAAGCACATATTAGAAAATATTTACTAAGTTTTCAATTAATTAAAATATATTATACAAAATAATTGACAATTTGATATTTTATACAAACTTGGAATATATTTATGAAAACACACTATGTTTGAAAAGCTATTGTTTTTGCAAAAAATTGCAAAAAAAGAAAAGCAAAGCAAAGCAAAGCAAAGAGACTATAAAATAATTCAGATAAAATTATACAAAAGTTTTTGATTTGAGAGAGTAGATCATGAAGAAAGGAAAGATTTTTTTATATAATTAAAGAAAGGTACAAAATTATTCTTCTTTAAATTAGAAATCATCTACTTAAAAATTAAATTATTTTTTATTGTTTAGAAACTCAATCTTTAAAGCCTTAAAAATAGGTAATTTCAATGTTATGTCATTAAAAGTTAATACTACTATTTTGTTTCAATTTAGTTTTTTTAAACTATAGAATACCATTTTTGGTTTTTATTTAATATTAAATATGTTTTTATTAACTCTTTTTATATATGTAATAAATAACATCTACTATTTTTGGAAATTTTCTTCCAAAAGGTGTAACCACATAATTAAACCACAATAAGGTCATATTTCATTTGGTTTATTGTTTATTTAAAAATTATACCTTTATAAAATTAAGTGTATTTTTGTGCTTTATATTTTATATTTTATTATATTTCTTATAAAAAATAGAATTTGAAAAATATCGATTATTGTCAAAAATAATACAAATAAGAAATTATACAATTTGTTTTGAAATAAATAATTATATGATCAATGTGAAATTGGATAAAACTTTTTATAATCTCTATATTATAAAAATCTTAAGTTAAGTAAAAAATCAAACATGTTTGATTCTATAATTATTTTTTTGATATTAGAATTAAATGTATTAAATTTAAATTAATTTTAAGGCCTTTTTTCATATTTTAAAGGCTTTTAAGAAATTTTTATTGTATAATAAATTTTCTTTTCTTATGAATCTTATGAAAGGTCTTACAATTTAAAGAAAATTCTTTGATAAATAATTCTTTAGAAACTTGCAAAAGGTTCTTTCTACTTTGTAATATATTCAATTTTTAAGGAACCTATAGAGATTTTTTTTGAAAAAACAAAAACTAAGAATTTTATAATATGCTACTATGGTTTTATGTACAACTACTATAGGTTATGTTATAGCCACCACAACCCACCACCTACTCAATATATTTTTTTAGTTTTTTAAAAATCCTAATTAATTTTTTAACATTTCTAATATTTTATTTTATTTTATTTTTTCATAGAAAATAAATTTAGTTTTAAGAAAAAAATATTAAAATTTTTAATAAGAATAAATTATGGTAGTAGTAGCAAAAATTGTGGTCGCATTAACAACACCTATATATATATATATATTTATATTTTATCTAAATATTTTTATAATTCTATTACATTTGATTAGAAAAAATTATATAGTAGTCTAAATTTAGATTATTCTTTCTTGTAGTTCTATTAAAAAATCATATAGTCTATATTTTAAAAACACATTTATATTTATGTTTATGATTATTTTTTTCTTTTTTTTTCTTTTTTTCAAACATACCTTTAAAGTTAATATTTATAAAATATAAATATTGATTAGACTCATCAATTAAAATATATTCTATATTATTGAAAAAATCACAAATGCTTTGTTTTATTTTGGATATCTGTGTAAATAGGTTCATTTCTCAATTCAATACTTTCTATTCATTTTTTACATTTTGACCAAATAGTTACCAAATTGTATTGTTTAAATTCTATAAATTTATAATTTTATGATTTAAAAGAAAAAAAATTAATTAAAGATAATACATAATACTTAATCTACTATAAAATGTTTTAAAGGTTGTATTCTTTTGACAACATTTCTTGATGTTGAAATTTATTTTTCAATAATTTTAATAAGCATTAAAAAGCCCTTTTGTGTATAAGTATTAAGTTTTTTTGTCTAAAATATATTTAACTATAAAACATATTAATGCTCTAGTGTCTCAAAATATGTTTATACAAGTATCTTTATATTCTATTTCATTCATTATATATACTTTTTTTTTATAGCTATGTGTATATAAGAAAAATAATCAGAGACTTGATTTTTTTTTTTAAATAATCGTATCCATTTGTAAGATGTCTATTAAGAAGATATATTGTTATGGTATAATTAGATAATATTTCTAATTAACATATAATTTAAAATTTGAATTTTGCCTTACTAGAATGACACTATGATGCTTAATTTAATTTATTATAATAAATCATAGATTGCCTTTTTAATTTTCTTCTTATATTTATGGTTTCAATCAAATTGGATCAATTTGTATTGGATCATCTTGATCTTGCATGTAACTATTTGTTATGCTACATAAAAAATATAAATCATCTTTATTAAATTATTTTAGTAATTAAATAACCATTATCTTTGGTTGATCTATAATTTTCCTTTACATCTACAAATAAATCAGACTTATATTATTAAATCTTTATGGATTTGATTATACACTTGATAATACATGTCTTTTCTTAAATATAAATTAAATTAAGACATAATTTACTAATTTTACACTTTCTACATATTACTGTACATGTAATGCAAATTTCTACAAGTGGTTTTATTACTATGTTTTTTTATATAAATAAAACCTATTATATGAATTTTAATCAATTTGAATAAATTATATTAATCAATTTGATTTTTTTATAGTAGTTTTTTAATAAACCTAATTTTAATCTAAAACCCATCCTAATCTATCTTTATTCAATTCAATTCACAAAGTCTTGAATCTATATTATAACCAAATATTAAATGTAAAATTTAAATAAATTCTAATTTATTCCTAGACAAATCCTAGATCTTGAAAGCTAAGGATTATATATAATAAACATTAATTCAAGACAATTTTTATTCTTTTACAAATCTTAAATCTCAGTTATAATCTTATTCTAAATCCTAACTAAATCTGAGTTCCTGGGAATTAAATAGACCTAATTCAATCTTAACCAAATCTTAAACAATAATTTTATAATCCTATATTAAAACAATTAAATGATTCCTATTCAATCCTAAACCATAACCACAAGTTAGATCAATACTCACTTAATACTAACCTTAAACCCTAAAAATTATTATTTTTTTCAATCACACCAAGTTTACATTACACCAAGTTGCTACAATAAACTTGTACATCATGTTATAATATCAACTATACCAATTACTTGGTCTGTACAAAAACAACATAAATTTCTTAAATTCTACCTTGTACTACATTCTATCTTTCACAAATGTGTGTCCTAGTATGGCAAACTTAGCAACTGTTGCAGGAGCCGCACCTCTACACCATCCGCTTCTACAAATTAAAGGCTTACTTCTAAGCAGGTGGTTGATTGAATTATCACTTGTGTTAATGACTAAAAACTGATACTATTCTTGCTCACTTCTAGAAAACAACAGTCTGCAATTTTTTTGAATGTAGCAGCAGCTATAGTTGTGGCATCCCTTTGACTAGGAAGAGATAAACAACGAAGCAATTGGCACACTGTCTAAAATGATCGCTGCACT